AACATCGGATCATCCGAATAAAGGAGTTGTTTATCAATAAAGTTTGTATATTGTGTCTGATCATGAGAACTACATCAGAAACTAGTGGAATATACATATGTTGTTGCTGTTGCTGTTGTTGCTGTTGCTGTTGTTGTTGTTGTTGTTGTTGTTGGTGTTGTTGTATTCCATGAATACATATACTTCAGAGACAGACACTGGTCTATGAGGCGATGGACACTTCCACATACTGGAGGCCGCCTCCGTCGTGTAGTGGTTAGATCGTCCGCCCGGAGAGCGGAAGGTCGCAGCGGGTTCGATCCCCGCCACGTCATAAAAAGACTTTAAAATATGGTACTAAAATTGGTGCCTGGCACCGGCATTAATGGGTGCCTACTGGTCGGTTGGAGTCAGTATAATGTGTCTGAGTGGGGTATTCATGCTTCACTGCGGATGGTATCTCAGTGAGCTAGCACTATAAAACCAGCTTCAGTCTGGGCTAGTACAAGCAGCCGCACATATACATACACACGCATGCACGTCGTCATATGAGCAAAATATTCTCAAGCACGATGTTAAACCCAATTTGACCTCACCTCACCTCCACATACTGGAAGTGGTATAAATACAAGACAGAGGACTTGACAGGCAGATATTTACAATGTCTAAAAACGTTCAGCTGTGTATTTCAACAGCCTGAATCTGGTTCTTACTGTGCACTTGATGAGTGTTGAAGAGGAACAAATTTTATGGATTGACAACTTCTATATTGCAATAGATGCGATGTTTTGGTGTAGATGCTAACACCGTTATCAAGCAAGTGCTGTCAACTAGTGTCTTGTGAGAAACTATTTGTGAGAAATAAACAGTGAAATTGATATATACTCCTCAATATTTGCTAAAGAACAAAATAGTCATCTGTAATCAAAGGCTTTGTCCTTAGCACTGGTTCTTTAGCATATATATTATATAAACTGTGCATTTGTGGGGTTTGAATGAATTGAACTACAGTTTTTAGAAATGCAGTTACCAAGTTTAGGTGACAAATATTATCATTAACAGAATCCATCTTAGCTCCTAAACCATGTCATGGCACAAAGTTTCTCTATAATTCAGCAGCATCATGACCTATACAAAGTTTACATTTTGTTCATAATGGCCCAGGAATTCCTGGCTCAGCCATATGAAACAAATTATAGCTTCCTGGATATGAAATCAAGACGTTGATATTAAAGTGTATTGTACAACACTTGATCCACCTGCCAGGTGTCACTGACCAGGTGTGACAAACGACAGGTGGGAGTGTCAGGTTATTGACATCCCAGGTGAGAGTGTATGTCACGCAACTACGCCAAGCTTTTATTACAGCATCTCATGTACCTGTTTGACCAAAATGTGTCTGAGAAAACGGATCCAAATTTGTTCACAAAGGTGTTATGTTCCCAGACAACACCTTGTCTGTATTGAAAACACTGCTGGGAACACACTAGGAATATCAGTCAATATACTTTTCACAATATGATGCCAAGTTTGACAGTGGCAGTAGAAAAGGTGTTTTTCATACAGATGTCGGTCAGCTGAGTGAAACCTGGGTGAGTGACCGAGCGAGTGAGTGAGGAATGGCCGAGTGAGTAGGATTGGCCGAGTGGGTGATTAAGTGAGAATTGCCCGAATGAGTGAGTAAGGATTGCCTGAGTGAGTGAGGATTGCCCAAGTGGGTGAGTGAGTGATGATTACCCGAGTGAGTGATTGAAGTTTTAAGCCGTTTTCAGCAATATTCCAGTAACCAGAAATGGGCTCCACGCATTTTACCTATGTGGGGAATTGAACCAGGGTCTTCGGTGTGACAAGTGAACGCTTTAATCACTAGGCTACCCCAACACCCATCAAAAATGATCATAAGCATTAAGGGAAGGTCATTATTGTCAGTACATTTGTGCTTCAAATACCTCTTACCACCCTTCTGTGGTATGTGACAGTTCCCTCATATATGATACATGACATTCCCCATTATATCGCCTGTAAACAGATCACCTGACCCCTCCAGGATAGTTACCCCACACTAAGACCCTGGGGTACGTGGCAAGGGTGACAGTTCTTCAACGGGAACCTTTGGTCTTAGTCACACATGGGTCAATAGTACATTAACACATAACATTGTCATAATAAGGCCACAAAAAGTATCTGAGAGGTTGTTAAGTAAGATTTCATTCTAAATTAACAAAACTTGATCGATGTTGATTAAAAACAACTGCTTTTTTTAACGTAGATCTGTGTGTAATTTTGTTGGTTTGGTGTTTATTGCAGCACTCAGCACTCTGGACCAGACAATCCAGTGATTGACATCATTGAGTATTGATCTACACAACAGCGATATAATGTGCCAGCCAAGTTACTGTGAGCATGACCGTAAGACCTCCAGTAATAGACAATATATAATCGAGCACCGCTGTCTCGATATTCATGGGACCAAGAAAAAAATATCAAGTTATCCAAACTTCTAGACATCCGACCTGGGCATATCATCACATATCACTATGAAAGAAAACAAAATGCTTCTCAGTATGTTATGATTCGAAACTATAATCCGTTATCAGTAGTGTTTAGTCGTAACAGTGTGTACTTCCTGATTAAATCCTTCCTAATTAATTCTAATTAAATAAAAAGTGACACCTTCAACTCAATTAGCCCTAATTAGTTTACACTACCGCATCCCATTGATTCGGTTGTGTAAACGTGTGGAAACAACCTCAGTTCAGTGGGATCCTTGCCCATGAAAAGTAGTGAATATCGAGTTTCTTTGCAAATATCGAGTTAAAAGGGTAACATTGCTTGTTGGGTCCATGAAATTATATCGAGATATCCGAAATATCGAGACATCCGTATCGAGTTATCAGAGTTCGGCACAACACTGCTCGATGTGATGACACACAGTCAAAGACGTTACTGAGCCTGACTTCATGATCAACACAGTCATCTCATATGACAAGCATCCATTTCATATAGCTGAAGACCTATAATGTTATCTGGGATACACCAGAGTTTGACAGGAAATAGACATGTGAAATTGACAAGTGTTCGGATCCTGGGTGAAGGAACAGGACAGTCTGAGATTTAATACCAAATCAGCCCATGACAAATTGTTCAAATATTTGTCAGATCCTTGGACAAGTAGACAGCAGCTTTCAGTCAAAACTATTTTCTTCGGAAATTATTTTTCGAAAATCAACATTCACCTGTATGCTAGCGATTAGGTCCTGGATGGGACACAACCCAACAAAAGTACTAGAATCTGTACTTTATCGAGAATGTGTAATCCTAAATATACACTTGTAACTTTCACCTCGACAACTATATACATGTAAATTCATGGAATCATACTGCATTCAATAAAGTATAAAGTAGGCCTAAGTTCATTAGTAGATGAACTTTATGTTCCATTTCGTTGTTATATTTAGTAAGGCCTTCTACATAAGAACTACAATAGTTTCTTTTTACTTTTAAGAATTTTGTTCTGTTTCCTGTGTTTAGTGTTGTCATTTCAAGACACAGGATGCAATATATAGGTGAGGTGAGGTGAAATTGGGTTTAACGTCGTGCTTCAGAATATTTTGCTCATATGACGACGTGCATGCGTGTGTATGTGTATGTGCCGCTGCTTGTACTAGCCCAGACTGAAGCTCGTTATATAGTGCTAGCCCACTGAGATACCATCCCGCAGTGAAGCATGAATACCCCACTCAGACACATTATGTCATCTGGCAAAAGTTTAATTCATTCAAAAAGAACAGCCTATATTATGTTAATAATATTCATGAATGTATCTATTTATTAGATACATAGAGAATACTACACGAGGTCTCATTACATACGAATTATGAACGAAGCGAGTGTCCTTCCTATGGTATCTGACCGGCGGCGAGTCAATCTTTATAGGAAGATCACACAGATTCGTTATAATTGTATATAATGAACCGAAGTCAATATTTTATTTATTACCCGTCTTACATGCATTAAATTGACAAAATAGCGTGGTTTTGTTAATATTTTGGTTTCAAGCCGAAACCCGGTTTCATAAAGAGGTTCGCGGAAGAGTTTTGTACTGTAGTACAATATTTGCATGGCGTCACTGTAATGGCGTCACTGCCTTAGTAACCCGGCGTCCACGATGCATGTCAGTTGTCTTACGCCTCGTACAGCCTCCTACAGTAAACTACTCCGTAGCACCCGTTTCTTGGTTTGCAGTTGCTTTCATTGGCTAACATCACTGGTGGAAACATTGGCGTTCACGTTTTTCGGCGGGTATAATGTCTCAGTTCGACTCACAATAAAACAGCGACACGGCAGCGTTAGCGATGTTTACATTCCACAATGCATTTAGTTGTAGAATGAATGGATCCACGTGATGTCTGTTATGAATGAAAAAGTAGTTCCGTCACAACATGACCTAACTGAGAGGTCATCGGTTATCCAATCAAATCGTTAGAATCTCAGGTCAAGTCGTTGCGACACAGGTCAGCAGCGATACGACACCGCGTGACGCGAAGATTGAGTATGCAACTCCCATCACGTTGACCACGTGGGTAATAAAAGCATTTATTACCACGTGGTCAACGTATGGGTAGTTGCATATTAATCTAAAATGCGTCACACGAGTGTCGTATTATGTTGACCTGTGCCGTAACGACTTGACCTGAGATTCTAACGATTTGATTGGACAACCGATGACCTCTCAATTAGGTCACGTTGTGACGGAACTACGTTTTCATTCATAACAAACACCTGAATTCATTCATTCTACAACTTATATGCATTGTGGGAATGTAAACATTGTGACCGTTGCTGTGTTGCTGTTTAATTGTGAGTCGAACTGAGACATTATATCCATAGAAACATAAACGCAATGTTTCCACCAGTGATGTTAGCCGAGTGAAGCGCCTGCAAACCAAGAAACGGGGTGGGTGCTACGGAGTAGTTTACTGTATGAGGCTGTACGAGGCGATGACAACTGACATGCATCGTGACGTCGGTTACCAAGGGGATAGACGAGAAATGGCGTAGTGATGTCATTACAGTGTGACGTCATGCAAAAAGTGTTCTACAGTAAAAACTTCTTCCGCAACCTCTATATGAAACCGGTTTCGGTTTGAAACCATAGCAATAACAAAAATACGCTATTTTGTCAATGTAAGACGTGGGTAATAAATAAAATACCATACTCGGTCTCATTACATACGAATTAAACGAAACTCGGGACCTTCCTCCAGGTATCTGACCTCGCTTTCGCTCGGTCAGAAACCATAGGAAGGACAATCATTTCGTATAATTCGTATGTAATGAGACCTCAGGTAGTATTCTCTATGGTTGCCTTCAACTATTTACAAAATCTTGATATATATATAAAACTACATGACCGGTGAAGATCAGGGCTGGAACTGGTCTTCAGCAACCCATGTTTGTTGTAAGAAGGGGCTAACGGGATCGGGTGGTCAGGCTTGCTGACTTTGTTGACACATGTCATTTGTTCCCAATTGTGTAGATTGATGCTCATGCTGTTGATCGCTGGATTGTCTAGTCCAGATTCGATTATTTACAGACAGCTGCCATATAGCTGGTATATTGCTGTGTGCGGTGTTTAACGACAAACAAACAAATTAGTCACTGGATTTACTGTTGTGATTGTTTACACTGCTGTCATAGAGACTGAATATTGCTAATATACAAAAACAAACAAAACAAATATTTCCTTTCCTGTCGTGGTAACAGTTTAAGCAAACAATATTCATTTGTAAACAGACTATGAATACCCTTCGTCTTGTAAACTTTGATATTGTTCTCCGGGAGGAACAATTCATTCTCTGATTTTGTAAAAAAGAAAATTCAGATTTTACTTATAATTCTTAAAGGTCACATGCAACGTAAAACACAACTTTGCAGATTCTGATAGCTTTCGGTATGGACTTACCGAAACAAATCATCAAAAATGCAAATTCAACTTATAAAGTTGAAAAATAATGCGATGAAAAAAACGCATGAAATCGGAGTTCAAACGATTCACTAATTTTCCCCAGACTTTTCGGGGGAAAACTGGTTTCAACAGCTGGGCTGCGCTCATAGTACGTGCGCAGTGAAATAGGTTCGCGCAACTTGGAAGCGGGCTGTCCGGTAAATACTCGGTGAAGGCTTTGGTGTGAGCTATTTTCCTATTGTTTTGTTGATATCTCACAGGCGCGAGCTTTTTATATGTTATGACAGTAAATAAACTGTTTATATAATTTCATTTGTCTATTTCACCACACGTTCTTCTTACCGAGTCACTTTCTCAGTTCAATACTTAAAAGCAATGTCATTATTTAGCGTTGACACAATTTCTAACTGTGATATAGATATGTCGTTGTCACACACAAAACTCAATGGTGTTGTTTTATTGACACCTGTGTGTCTGCCTGCCTGTCTGCTAATGACAATATTCAATACACAACTGGGATCACTGACCACATGCAATTTGAACTTAACACCAATCAGGCTATACACCATAAACAAAACGCATTGATTTATGGCCCGAGTTCGGTCTCTGTCACATTATGTAATTACACAGACAGGCAGGTGTGATACTTGAACACATGACATGTTATGATGTCTGTTGATTGCAAAATGTTATACACAAAAATGTAATTTTTTGAGTAAAATTGATATTTTATACTTATCCTGACTCATGCTCTTTTGCTTGTCTCCTTCCTCTTGCGAACATAGTGGAACACTTGTATCTCCCTAATTGAAGTTCCCTTCAATGTAAAATCACTAATTAGTACACCACGAGTTACCTCCCTTCCACAATCGCGGGAACGAGGGCGCCACCTCTACCCATGTGCCTCACTCTCTCCTCATATACTGAGCCCAACATTTGAATTTACAGGGAAATCCAAAGTGTTATTTGGGGAGGATGGGAGGCTGACCTCATGAGTCAGGATAAGTATAAAATATCAATTTTACTCAAAAAAATTACATATTTTCCTTATCCTGACTCATGCTCTTTTGCTTTGTAGAATCCAACAGAGCGGAGAGGTGGGAATATATAATACTTTGGATTTTAATAATTAGTGATTTGAACTGTGATGATTGTAATAAACCCATGAGAACTTCATAAAGGCATTGAACTGATGAATTTCCTGCTGCCAGCTTATCAGCTGCCATATAGAGGTTATTACAATGTACTTATTATGATAAGTATATATAATATTAATACAATGCTTAAGACTAATAGACTTAAGCTTGTTAATATGCTAGTATAAACTCCTTAGAGTTTGTTAGCTAAAATACTTTAAGATATAAACATAGCATTCAAGCTTAAAATATGATTAATTTTAAGCTTAATTATATAATAACAAACCTCTTTAGGGTTTGTTAGTTAAAATATTTATATGATATAGACAGTGCTGAGCTTAAGATATGAATAAGCTTAGCTATATATATATATACAGCAAACTTTGTAGAGTTTGTTAGCTAATACATTTTTACAATATGAGTATAGTATTGTGCTTAAGATATAATTATCTTAAGCTACATATATAATAGCCAAACTTAGTAGAGTTTGTTAGCTAATATATTTTACAATATGAGTATAATACTGTGCTTAAGATATAATTAACTTAAGCTACATATATAATAGCCAAACTTAGTATAGTTTGTTAGCTAATATATTTTACAATATGAGTATAGTACTGTGCTTAAGATATAATTAACTTAAGCTACATATATAATAGCCAAACTTAGTAAAAGTTTGTTAGCTAATATATTTTTTACAATATGAGTATAGTACTGTGCTTAAGATATAATTAACTTAAGCTACATATATAATAGCCAAACTTAGTAAAGTTTGTTAGCTAATATATTTTTTACAATATGAGTATAGTACTGTGCTTAAGATATAATTAACTTAAGCTACATATACAATAGCCAAAACTCTCTGTAGAGCTTATTAGCTAATAGATTTATAATGTAACCATAGTACTAAGCTTAAGATATGATTAGACTTAAGCTAAATGTATATAGCAAAAACTCCTTAGAGTTTATTAACTAATATACTTTTATGTTATAAACATAGTACTGAGCTTAAGATATGATTAAACTTAAGCTATATATATATAATAGTAAAACTCCGTAGAGTTTGATAGCTAATACATTTTATTATGTTGATTTAGACCTAGTATTGAGCTTAAGATATGAAGTAAACCTTAAGCTAAATATATAATAGCAAAAACCTTTTAGAGTTTTAATAGCTAATATACTTATATGGTATCAACATAGTATTGAGCTTAAGATATGAAGAAACCTTAAGCTACATATGTATAGCAAAACTCCTCGAGAGTTTGTTAGCTAATACATGATATAATGTAACCATAAAGCTTAAAATATGATGAAAACTTAAGCCCAATATATAATAGCAAAAAACTCTTTTAGAGTTTTGATAGCTAATATACCTATATGCTATAAACATAGTACTGCTTTAAGATATGAATAAGCTTGGTTACATATATAATAGCAAAAACTCCATAGAGTTTGTTAGCTAATACATGTTATAATGTAACCATATTGCTTAAGATATGATGAAACTTAAGCCAAATAGCAAAAGCTCTTTAGAGTTTGTTAGCTAATATAGTTATATGATATAAACATAGTACTGAGCTTAAGATATGAATGAGCTTAAGCTACCTATATAATAGCAAAACTCCGTGAGAGTTTGTTAGCTAATGTATTTTTACAATATGAGTATAGTACTATGCTTAAAATATACTTGACTTAAGCTAACGTATATAATAGCCAAAAACTCTGTAGAGTTTGTTAGCTAATGCATTTATCATGTAACCACTGTGATGATAAAAAAACGAGCTTAAGCAAATTATATATAGCATGAAGCTATTTAGTACCGTTATAAGATAAGTAAAAATCTGTAAGATTGACTTATCTTCTCGGAGGAACTGTCAACTGTTGTGCAAGGACCATGGGATCGAATTGGTGGATACCTGAGATGTCCTCGGTGGTGATATCTCTCAGATAATGGTTGGCAACCACCATATCGGATCTACAGTAATAAACCCTCCATTATTTCAAAATAACATTTGTGTAGATGAAATTGTAGAAGTAGGGCTCTAATATCAAGAGTATTAAAGCTCATGGAGGGTCGGATTAGGTCCATCTGTCTTGTATGCACGTGAGTATGACAGTTCTGATCCAAACGGAGATATAGTATGCGTGAGACTACACTCTCGTAAGTTGATGATAGAGGAAAAATCTGTTGTATTTTTTTCTTCCTGTTTGGTTTGGTGGAGATAAATTTACAGTGCTCTTGCTGGCCAGCTGATAGCATCATCGTATCATGGAGTCCAAGTATGTCATCCAGGCATGTTCATAAACCTCACTTGTGTGAGGTGTTGTAGCACTATATTCATATCCCCAAGTTGGTACGCGGAAACTTCCGTTTATTCTCCAAACAGAAACTTAGTAGGTTTACTAACCATCTAGTTGTGTTAGTAGCTTGATGATGAAATTCAGGTGTAGTCTGAAACGCTGTGGATTTCGATCCACTTGTATCACGCCGTCTAGGTAAATCGCTATGATGTCCTTGACGATGTATGTGCACAACCGGGAGTTTGTGTCCTCGATGAACTTTATGTAAAATCGCTTGACTGCTGTGCCCTTGTCTAAACTTGACATGGGAGGTTTCTAGCCTGAAGAAAGCAGCCTAATCATGAAGGTTCAGGTTAACTGGGCTGTATGAGGCTTGCTCGCTCATTGATATAAAGTTGTCACTTGCAACCTATGTCTTGAACTGTGAACTATGCTCTAACCTCTGTGTGGAGGCGTTGTTCATCGGGTCCAATCAGAATAAGGCATTTTGATTCTGTAGAGTACCCGCTGTGATGTCACGGTGTAGCAGGAAAAGGAACCTTGTATAATATAGTGCGTCGTTGATATTAGAACAATCATCGGTCTTCATCGTAACTTCCGAAGTTACCAGTGACCACGGTTTCGAGGATTAATGGTAAACGCCACGAAAAGCTTCAAGAAAAATACCTTGCTCTGTAATATTAATGCTGGGTAGGTTATTTTCCTGGCTGTCGTGAAAGTACTTCAGTTTTGAATATAATTCCGACTTCTTTATATATAAAGGTACAATAACTTGTAAGTTGTCAGCTTGTAGACTGTATACATGAATGTATCGGGTCATAATTGTAGAATTAAAGCTGAATTTGTTGTACATATTTCTTCTCAGAAATGTTGGCGATTATGAGTTATACTGGCTGTAACAAGGCTGCTGTTCAATTTCGATATTGAATTGTCTGCGCAGATATGTAATGGTCACGCATGTAGATAATCGATCGTCGTCCGGGATTGCATATACCAGCAATTTATACGAATGAATAGTTGATTTCTGTGAAGATCTATGAAACGCCGTTGACAAATTAATACAGCGACGTTCTGTGTTGTAAATAGCCTGTGCAATTGTCTTCGCGTGGGCTTATAGATTCGCATCTGGCATACAGTTGATAGACAACTTATGCGATGTCTTGAACGGACTGAGGAGTAGCTATATATGACGAGTGGCTAGTATATGGAGACCTTGGAGGAGACTTCCTCGGTGAACGCCGGAGACTTCACGAAGCTCTCGAAGTATCCCTTCTAGATCTACTGGTGAAGTAGACTTGAGCCACTTAGCCTTCGCGACCTTCGGCTGCATCGAAATCAAAGTCCGATTAGAATATATATATATATATATATATATATATATATATAAGAGCGCATTTGCCATGAATGGCCTCTGTGTTTAACAGGATGTGGGGAATTCGTGGCGCATACTCCTCCGCTGCATCCTTGTAGCTGGTGAGGCTCTAGCTCCTTCGAGGCGCCTGGGACTTGCTGGTTCTGCATAAGTAGGGCCGAGTGGATCATCTTATCATTTTCAGAAGTCGTGTACGTAAATCTGGTGATAAGTGTCTCAATGATCGTTCTAGATCTATTTAGGCCAACGAACATACCGCCTCGTCATGGATTCAACTGAACCAATTTTACGATTGTAGTTCTTATTGTTGATATCGATGATCAACTTGTAGTTTTCATCGATGTCTTAAGCCTTGAAGAAAGGGTCCATGTTGTGCGTGGAAAACTTCTGAAGCGTGAAAGTTCGGCAATTATGGTGTCTGAACTTTTGTGGCTTTATGGGATGCTATGTCTAGATTCTGTGCTACCGCAGCAATCGGGTCGATCGGAGGTAGGGTGATAGCATCTGGCGCCGTCTTCCTTCATCAGGTATGTCTGCGTCGTGACTGCCACTCTAGGAAGGTGATGTAGACTTGTGTGCAGACTTGTGTGGTAACCTGTGAGGCTTATCGATGTGGTGATGTGACGAGGAGATCGGAGACTATTGACAGCTTCGCTGGGGCTCTTGAGTAGTCCCTTGACTCTGTTAAATGACGATCTATATTCGGGTGTCCTTCCCGGAAGTGCCTTCGCTAATGCCTTCACGTAACGCTTCTTTCACGAACGCTGCGAGCCTTCGCTGAAGCTTCCCGCGCTCGATTGCTGGGGAACGGCGATTTGAGCTTCGCTAAGGCTTCCGTGAGGTCTGGTGGCTGAGTCTGCATCTAAGGATGAAGCCGAGTGAATGTGATGATCTATCGCTTAGCGATAGGCTTCGCCTTCGGCTGTACATCTGGGTCCTTCGTCAAGGTGGTCTGGCGACTTCCTTCGCCGAAGGCTGCATCGCCTTGGCTGCCACGCTGACTGGAGGTGCCTCTAGAGTGTTGTCTAAGTTGGAGCCTTCGCGAAGGCTCGTACTCTGGGCTGGCTGCTTCTCCAGTCTGTAGTGACCCTCCATCACGACCATGATTTGCCGTAGTAGCTTCGTCTGGGATGGTCTGCGACGAAGTAGTCGGGTGCCATCTCTGGCGCTGTTAGTGGTGGGGCCCTCAGGTAAGTCGCCTGACATCAGTGTAGAGACATCAGGCTGCATGACGATCTCTGCTGATGTCATTGTAGCTGTCACCGGTCGCTACTTGTCTCATAATACGCCGAGGATGATGATCGGCTGATCATCGTAGAGGCCAAGTTCAGCGGCTGGAACAATCTCGCTGAGAAGGTCCTAGTAGACTTCGTTGAATTCCCCTCAGAGGTCGACGCTGCCCTGGGGGTGCGAAGTCTGCGTTGAGTGTTGGTAGCTTACGGGACCCTCAGGAAGATCATCGAATGTTGATCTGCGCTGACATCACTGTTGCCGACATCAGTCATTCTTTGATGTACATCAGGAATGATGATCGGCTGATCATCATACAGGCCCAAATCTCGCGATGAGAACAATCTCGCTGAGAAAGTTCTAGTAGACTTCGTTGAATACCCCTCAGTGCGCGACGAAGGATGTCTGGGGAAGCAGGGCGCTTCTTGAGGCGGGCGGACTACGCCCCGCCTCTCCACCATTCTAGCGAAACCCAGACGCGGGAGGGGGTCGACCAACAGCAGTAGACTGGCGAGGGTTCAGGTGTATCAGTCATGCTAGACTCTGCATCATGGACCTATCTGCTGGCGCGCCTCAAACGCAGAAAAGTAATTATTTATTAAAGGTAGAATTGGATAAATTAGTATCGCGAACTGCAACGTGAATCACATGAAACATGGCGCAGTACAGCTAGGGCATATTAAATGCGGATCAGCAGCAGAATAAAAACGTAATGTGCAACAGTACAGAATTTTTATCAACGTAATCCACTGCAAACAGCACGGGCCC